CATTTTTATAAATTGACTTGGCATCCAATAATAAAGGCTTAGGATTCAAATAAAAATGATTGAAACAAGCTACATCAGTTCGTAAAAAAATGATTGTAGAGCATTAGTTGTCATTTGCTACTTCTATATTGTCTCTCAAAATATCAAGATATGATGAATCCTATTATATCATTTTTTTGGTGGTGTTAATTAACATTGTCAAGTTTAAACTCGATATATAGGTAAGATTTCTCTATGTAACGCCCCAATTTTTATACCCAAATGATAATACAATAATCATGGTTCTTTAAAGTAAAACTAAAAGTAAATCTTCACGCTTGCAATACATGATACAAATAATCCTCATGCGATAATACATTCACCTCAAATCAAGATGACATAAACAAATAAATACCCTCATGGGTTTACAAGTTTCCAAGGCTTTGGCCCGGTTACACAAATCGGTTATTCAAACCATACAAATATAGCCCTTGGCTTACAAAACAGAGCCACACAAAGTGAGAGCATTGTACTCCCAACACACACATTTCCACGCTCTCAGTTGGGTAGAATCACCCCATCTTTTCCTGCGCAATAATCCCGTATGGTGGGCATAAAGCCTAGTAGGAAATCCTTAACAAAGTATATACATTTTATACAAGTCTCGAGATGAATGCACATGCCATGCTATGTCTTTTTGCAAATAAATCATATCTTCATCTTTTGAAAACCATCATGCTCAATGATGCCATGAAATGTCCATTCTTCAAAACTTAATAATTTAATTCAAGAGGCGGTAAATACAACTCTGGTAATCCTTAGGTCGGTCTCTGCAAGTAGACTATACAAGTACTACCAATTTGTCATTTTTATCGGTATCAACCAGAAGGCTCGACACCTATCAATTGTCATTTTTACCAGTGTCAACTGGAAGGCTCGACACCTATCATCTACACCACTTGTCAAGACTTACCACCGTATTTACCCTAAAACCATTTCATGAAAACTCATTTCTCTACATTCTCTTCTCAATGCAAGTTTTCAAATCAACTTTCAAAGTTCAATATAATCAATTAAATTGATATGCCAATGCAATAATAATCAATACAATACAATCATTCTTCCATTTCCAATTCTTTCACACAATACTACCATTGTGATCAAAATTCCCATTTCTCCTTTCCATGCAATTTCACAAGATGAATAAATATACATTTATTTCAATTCATCCGAGGAATAAACACATCTTCCATATTCCGAGCATTTTCAACAAATTAGCCATTTCAAGACTAAATCAACATTTTGAATAACAATTTTCAAAATAAACAATAACTCTCATATTTCTCAAAATTTGTCATTTATACAATATAAACAAGAAATTTTCCAAATATCACTTATTTTGGGCATTCAAAATAAATATAACAATATCAACCATGGATTTTTAACTTCTTTTAAAAATCCCTAATTTCTAGGTTTTTCTCACCAAAAACCATCCATCTTCAAACATTTGAGAAAAATCTCACCAAAATCCTCTTTCTTCAATCAACATAGCTTAAAACCCTCAATTTCTAATTTTAAGAAAGTAAGCCCACTTTCAAAAATTACTCATCTTTTTGAATCAACTACCCATTTTCAAAACAAATCGAAGGATGATTTCAAAATCATCTAGATCTTGCAAAAACATATATATAACTTAAAGAAAATCCCTACCTCAAGTTTGGAGAAGAAACGAGTTGAAACCCCAAAATCAACGATGCCTAAACTCGATCTCCACCGCACACAACGTAGCCCTCGCCTAGATAACCAACTTTGATGAAGGACTTGGATCTAAATCTCAATGGGTTTGGAGAAATCAAAGATCTTGTGAGGGTTTTGGTAGGAAATGTAGAGAGAAGGGAGAGGAAACGCTTTAGAGAGAGAGAGAGATATATACAAAAAGTGACATTCAATCAGCCCAAAGAGAGAAGAAAAGGAAAAATTCCAGATCTACCTAACTTCCCGCACGTGCGGCGCGTGCTCCCGCACGTGCGGCCAACACCCCTGCACGTGCGGCCCTTCTTCCTTCGCACCTCCAGCCGCACTTGCCTTTTTAGCAGTGTGCTTCAGGCCCCTGCCCTGTTTCCCGGACGTGCGGCCTCATCCCCTGCACGTGCAGCCCTGGTCCTCAGCCCGGAATTCTCTCGGTTCAACTCCCGACACTTCAGACCGACCGAGCAGACAAGCAACTTTGAATGCGTTTTGCATTTTTGTTTTGAGGGGCACTGCCCCCTGGACACCCGCGAGCTGACCAGGCAGCTCGACCCTCGCCAGGGCATTGCCCTTAGACCCACCAAGGGGTGCTGCCCCCTGGACCCTCGCAAAGGGGCGCTACCCCCTTAACCCCCGACCGGCCTAGTCGAAGTGGCAAAACATAAAAGAAGGATCAAAACCGGGATCGCTACACTCTATGTGTTATATTGGTAGAGATAGGTAGTGATTATTAGTGGTAATAATGAAAATATCAAGTAATAATCCGATGGGCGATGTGGATGGCAAGTGCACATCTGCCAAACCACTAGTATAAATAAATAGATAAATAGAAAATCTCTAAAATGGAATCCTTTATCTCAAAATCTTTGTTCTCATATCCTAATACACTTTTAATTATTAGATTATGTTTCGAGATTTATGTATTTTTAACTTGCCATACTATCTAATGGTTTGATCAAATAGATATGTTAAAGCTGATGTCTAGCACAAAATGATGAGGCCTCACTAGATTTTAGTACGACATATAAGGATTTTAGAAATCAATTTTTTTGGGTCTAAAAAGTAAATTTTTTTTTTTTTTGATCAGCAAAGAAAACAAAACTTTATTGATGAACAAAGATAGAATTACACCAATAGAGAAAAAGGGGAAGGGGAAGGGAAGATGGAAGAGGAGTGCAAGGAGTATCATAGCGAAACAGAACAATCCCAATTAGGTTGGCATTGAAAAGATCGCCCAATTATATGCTAGCACATCGCCCGGAGTTGGTGAGTAACCAACCACAACCTGCAAACCGAAACCCAAACACAGCCAATAGAGCTAGAGACAACTCAAAACTAGCAGATACAAAACAAAAGCAAACACAACACAAGCAGGAACATTTAGCAGTAGCAAAAAAAGAAAGAGCAAGGCAGCAACTGCATCAGCAGTAGTCTCCACTGGTTCACTGCACTCAAAGCCCATACCAACACTTAAAAACCTCCCAGAAGCTCTTTTGAATCTTATAAGCAACTTCTCACCTTAGCCCAAAATCAACCATAGTCAACCATAGCAGTAGCCCTGTTCACACACAAAATAGAACACAACACAGGGGAAAAGAATCCCATGATGCTATCAGCAGTAGTCCTCAACAGCCCCAAGAATCTCAGAATCAAACACAGCCCCAAGCAGCCCAGACTCAACCATAACATCAGAAACAGAAATAAAGAAAGAACATCAGCAGCAACAAGCAACTAAAAACACCAAAGTATATACCATTTTTCACCTTTCTGACCTAGGGTAAACAAATTAAGCAGACACCAAAACAGCAGCCTTAGGCTTTTTTGTTATTAGATTCCTTTTCAGCCTTCACATTTGTTTCCAGCCCTGAATTGACTCGCTCTTGGCTACATTGATTTTTCTATTGCCTTTGAAATTTTGCCACTGATGAACCCATATCAGTTACAAGAAAATTTATCAACCCTTCTTCATCTGGATCACTCCCTTTAATATCAGGAGCCAGGACAACATCATAATTCTTTAGAGGCCAGGACAATAGCATAATAGCAGTAAATACACCAATAGGCCAAGACAACAACAAACACCCCTCACTAATCTTCCTCAAGGTTCACCCCGAGAACCACCTCCCAAGCAAAATCTAATTTGACCCAGATTGGAAATAAAATCATTCATAGTGAATAGATGGACCTTATATACTTCCTTGAACCAAACAGCCAATCTAAACTTAATAAGATCACTTACACCAGCCTCATTAGGGACAACCCCCCTAAACAAACACTCATTACGAAGATTCGACAAAGACCACATTACAACCAAAGGAATAGCTTTCCACATTATCCTCTTTTTTTTGCTAAGCCTCACCCCTGCCCACCACTCAAGAGGCCTTGAACACCCCACCATCTGAGCATTGCCGACCATATTCTCCAAGCAAATGTACATGAAAATAACACATGGTTGAGTGACTCATCCACAGATTTGCACAGACAGCATACTGAAGATGCATTAGCATTCATAACACCAATCCTGATAAGAAAATCTGCAGTCTTTAACCTACCTTTCCATGCAAACCAACCAAAACATTGAACTCTAGGGGGAATGTCTTGACCCAAATCCTTTTGCTAATAGGACTAAGGTTGCCAAATCCATCTGCCAAAAATTTCTATACTGATCCCACTGTAAATCTCCAAGTTGTAGAAGCATTCCAAACTAGTGTATCTTCTGATGATTGCCTAATAACAGGACAAGCCTCTAACTGGCTTACCAATCTGGTGGCCTCCACTCTTTTCCAATCATATAGCTCCCTTCTAATTGGAACATCCACTCACCAATTTCCACCTTTCTGTCCACCATAGCAGATAGAGACTCCCCCTTATTTACTACCAATCTATACAATAGTGGGAATTCATCTTTGAGACATAAGTTCACACACCATTTATCAACCCAGAATTTGACTCTATGTCCATTACCCACTTTCATCTTACAATTATCTAGAAAAAACTCCATCAGCTTGCTGCTCTGTTCAAGGCCTGATACTATATCCTTCCAATGTTTAGAGCACCTGCTATTAAGGCTAATTAAAGGCCTCCAATTCCCTTCCTCAATCCTATACGTACTACAGATTACTCTTCTCCATAATGCTTTGCTCTCAACACCAACCTCCACCACCATTTCAATAAAAGGCAATCATTGACCTCCTTAGCTCTGCTAACCCCCAAGCCCCCTTGCGTAACTAGTTTGGATACTTCCTTCCATTTTACTAGCTGAACCTTTTTTCTCAAATCAAACCCTCCCAGAGAAAAGAGGCCTGAATCTTGTCCAGCTCTCTACCAACCCCTTGTGGCAATTTATACAAAGACAAATAGTAAATAGGCAAAGAAGAAAGGACATATTTAATTAAAGTAAGTCTCCCTGCAAATGAGAGTAATTTCCTTTTGCAACCTGCCAGTTTGCTTCTAGCTTTGTCCAACATAGGTCTCCAAGATGCTTTTCTGCTGGGGTTAACACCCAATAGTAGTCCTAGGTATTGAAATGGCATACTTTTCACCTTGCAGCTTAACACTGATGCAATCTCATTCATAACTTCAACCGGAACACCCACTCTGCTAACTAAACTTTTGTGGTAGTTGATCTTCAGACCTGACAGCAACTCAAAACACCTCAGAATCCTCTTCACATTACGAACTTCCAAAACATCAGCTTCACACAAAATTAGGGAATCATTAGCAAACTAAAGATGAGTAATAACTACCCCATCTATGCCAATTGTCACCCCTTTTATCAACTCCAAATCCAAAGCCCTTGACATTAATATACTTAAACCCTTAGCTGCTATGCTGAACAAGAAAGAGGATAGTGCATCACCTTGTCTGAGCCCTCTTTGTGGACTAAACTCATCATTTGGTGCTCCATTAACATGCACAGATAACCTAGCAGAGATTATACACTCCTTTATCCACTTCACCCACTTTTCACTAAACCCAAAGTTTAACTTCATTGACAATAGAAAGTCCCAATTCAAAGAGTCGTAAGCTTTCTCAAAATCTAACTTTATGATCAAACCTCTTTTCTTGGCTTTCTTCCAACTATCCACAACCTCATTGGCCACCAACACTCCATTTAGAATGTTTCTACCTCCAATAAATGCTGATTGATTTTCACTAATAATTTGAGGAATCACTGCTTTCAACCTGGAGGATAGAACCTTAGTAAGGATTTTATATAGTGAACTAACCAAGCTAATTGGTCTGTAGTCAGCTAAGCCCACTGGATTCTCCTTCTTGGAGACCAAAGTGATGAAGGAACTGTTGATCCCTTTAACTAGCTTACTATTTTTATGGAACTCAGCCATGAAATTAAGCACATTAGTCTTCATCACCTTCCATAACTTTTGAATACTAGCCAAGTTAAACCCATTTGGGCCTGGCGCCTTATTACCATCTATAGACGCACCCGCATGGGGGGTCCCGCTACTACAGTTCGGACTCGATTTGTGTCACGGTTCTTAATCTGAACCAAAGAGTCCAAATCTGACAAATCGTTTTGAGAAAACAGATTTTTAGAAAAAGAAGTGCCAAACATGGACTGCTTTGCCAAATACAGAGTCGCCACCTAAATATTTTTTATTGGGGGAATTTAGGAAACCCTGACTTAGTGCCGAAGGCCACATGTCCGTCATCACCAGAGTTGCCTCGGCTCGGGAGCTAGGGTACGATTGGGGAAGGTCAGCTATGAGCACCCCCTCTCGCCCGATCCGAAGATCGACCTCTACTAACCGTGATATCCGTTTTTGAAAACGTTATGTGTTCTTAAACCGGTTATTAGCCTAGAATTACTATGTTATGCGCACAGCAAACAAGTATAGACTAGATTGCCTAATTTGGGAATAAGCATTGCATATCCGCTTGTTTTTGGAAAATGTTTTGGAATTTGCTACCCGCAAGTAGGCTAAAACACGAATTTCAACGAGTGTTTCCAACTCAGACAATCCAACCTTCACCCAAAGGCATTCAAACAGTTTATAACATAAGCAACTAGCCACATGGTAAGCATGCTGTCATGGTAGCATTCACACGCATGCGGTATGCTAAAACATAAAATACTTACATCATACTCCGTGCCAAAACAATAAACTAGTTAGCCAACATGCATGATCCTAGTTCATGTTGAATTGACTAATGCAACACATACAAGATGCAATTAGAGTGGGCTCGGCTAACCTAAACATGGCATGTGAAATGCAATCAATTGATGCACGTATTCAATTTGGAATTGAAGTACAAATGCAGTTAGTATGATGTACCGAGCCTGGTGCATGCAAGACAAATGCATGAATGCGCGCATGCATAGCATAAGGTATGCTGATTTAAACATGACCTATTACTAACCATCAAAGCAGGTAAGTAAAAGGGAGAAAGAAGTGGGGGTTGGAAGACATGCACACACTCACCTACACTTATTACAAATTCGCCCTCGCTCGGATGGACCAAAAGAATAATACAACTCGAAAAATGAATTAACTATCCTAGTTAATTAATTATTACAAATTACCTAATTAGTTAACAAACTAACTAAGTAAGGCACAAGAAAGGAAGTACCTCACTCCCATAACATGACCAATCATAGCATGATTTAGACAAGTAAGAAACAGAATTTTTACAGGCAAAATAGGGCTCCAAACCCTCCTAATATGGCAGCTAAGATGGCTCCAAAGGGGTGTATGCACTAAGGTTCATGTGTAGGCATAAGAGGGCACGCCTCCAAGGCACCAAAGAGGTCACAAATGCACACATATGAGCATGATTTATGGACTGAAATATGGTACTCGGTGCCGAAGGCCACATGTCCGTCATCACCAGAGTTGCCTCGGCTCGGGAGCTAGGGTACGATTGGGGAAGGTCAGCTATGAGCACCCCCTCTCGCCCGATCCGAAGATCGGCCTCTACTAACCGTGATATCCGTTTTTGAAAACGTTATGTGTTCTTATCCTGATTATTAGCTTAGGTTTACTATGTTATGCGCACAGCAAACAAGTATAGACTAGATTGCCTAATTTGGAAATAAGCATTGCATATCCGTTTGTCTTGAAAAACATTTTGGAATTTGCTACTCACAAATAGGCTAAAGCACACAATAAACTAGTTAGCAAACATGCGTGATCCTAGTTCATGTCAGATTGCCTAATGTAACACATATAGGATGCAATTTGGAATAGGCTCAGCTAACCTAAGCATGGCATGTGAAATGCAATCAATTGATGCACGAATTCAATTTGGAATTGAAGTACAAATGCAGTTAGTATGATGTACCGAGCCTGGTGCATGCAAGACAAATGCATGAATGCGCGTATGCATAGCATAAGGTATGCTGATTTAAACATGACCTATTACTAACCATCAAAGCAGGTAAGTAAAAGGGAGAAAGAAGTGGGGGTTGGAAGACATGCACACACTCACCCACACTTATTACAAATTCGTCCTCGCTCGGATGGACCAAAAGAATAATACAATTCGAAAAATGAATTAACTATCCTAGTTAATTAATTATTACAAATTACCTAATTAGTTAACAAATTAACTAAGCTAGGAAAGACAGTAAACCGCCTCGGGAAGAGAGCTCAATGCAATGCATGCCCGGTCCTGCTCGGAAGTACACTGCCATGCACAAGCTGCCTCTGTTTTCCCTGCTATACTCCTCTAAAGACTGCCAAAGTCTCAGGATTGCTTCCCTGGACATTGGGAGGCTCCACCGGCTGAGTAGAATGTCCACCGGCAGTGGCATGTGATCATCGGCTGTTGGTGAAGCTATCGACCCTGGAAAGATTGCCGGTCGGCACTTAGCACTACCGGCCGGCAGAAAGTTCCTGCAGGATCTGCAATTGGCAGCAACAGAGGGCAAGGCAAAGCATGGCAATGCAATTCAAGCAATGTATGCACCAATTATGCCCCTTATCATGTTAGTGACTCAAAGGGACATGCTCCTTGGTTCTCGGACCATCAATCGCGCATTTTCATGCGTGATGGCCCAAGGGACCAAGTGTGCACATTTTGATGTCAAATGTAATGCAAACCAACAATCCAAAGCCCAATTCCTATCACTAGATCAAGGAACAAGGCATGCATGCTAGATGCAATGCAACCTAGGCATGCAAGCTAAGGGTGCAACATGGGAATGCAAGATGTACATGCAAGCATACAAACAACATGCAAGGTAAGCATGCAAGTAAGCAAAGGATGGACTTAAACATGATTTGGGCAGCTCTAATTAGGCCCAAAACAGTGGCCATAAGTGCTATGAAATGAAGACTAAACACACATACACACATGCACATGTTAAAAGGCTAACACTCAAGAACAAAAGGGCGACTCTCAAGCACACTTGAAAGAGGCCTAACATGGACTAATGGCATGCAAGGTAAGTATTGAAAATCATGTTACAAAAGGTGTTAAGCCAATTTAAACAAGACAAACATTAGCATGCAAACAAACCAAAATCCAAGACAAGCCAAGAGGCTTAAACCAAAACTAAGTCAACCAAGCCTCACAAGGCTAAGAGGACTTAAAATAGGTCTAAGGCAGGCCTAAACAACACCCAAGGGACACCTAGATGGCATCTAAGTGGCTCGAACTCAAAAGCATGCACAATGACCAAAACATGGAGCATGCAAGACAAGCTTTCAAAGCTTCAAAGAGTCATCCAAGGCAAGCATACAAGCATGCTAAAGGAACTGAAATAACATGGCAAATGGTCCCAACCCACTAAATTAAGGCAAGGATGCATGCTATACATTCACACACTTAAGGCCAACAAACAAAAAATGCAAAGGGGCTATACTAAGCATGCCAAAGTCGACTCAAACAACTATGGACAGACCTCAAACATGGCAAAATAAGCACAAAAGCTTCACAAAGCTAGGCCTAAAACATGCTAGAACAATGGCTTACAACCTAAGCATTTAAGCCTAACATGGACATTACAAGGTAGGTATGCTAAGCATGCATGGTGTACCAAAACCAATTAAAAACAGAGGCATATTTATGACATAATAAGCACAAAAAACAGCCAAGGCATGGTCAACAAGAAGCTTAGCTAGGTGCTCCCCAAGAGGCCAAAAATGGTCCATTTCAAGGGCAACAAGGAGAGGGGTGGCCCTCTCCTTCTTGGGACCTCAAGGCACATCCTCACCTCTGAAATTCCCTCAAGATTTCCAGTGGTGAGGAGCCCAAACACCAAGGTCTCGGAGCTTATACAAAATGCACAAAATGGGGGCCTCTCAAGGCCTAAAAGGGGTCAACACCCTCAAACCACAAAAACACTCTAACAAACTATTTAGAGGGCCTAAAAATAGAAATTTTTTATATTATACACTAAGCTCAAAAAACAGTTTTAAGAAGGCAAAAATAGTATGCAAAAATGGGGAATAAAGGAGTAAGATTGTTACCTTGAAGACCCTCTTCACAAATAGAAGCTCCAACAGCTTCTTTGAGCTCAAAACAGCCTAAGAACCTCAAGAACAACCTCGGTTCTTCAAGAAACCAAGGAAGGTGTAACACTATGTGTTTGTGTGCAATAGTAAGACACAAACACACTTAAACACACACAAAGGCCAAATGAGAGAGAAGTATAGAGATAGAATATGTATGAAATCCTAAACCTAAAACCAGCAGTCTCACACAACTTTTCTCTCTAAAATGTCTAACTAGAGCCAAGAGGGGAGGGCTCCTCTTATAGAGGAGCCAATCTTGTAAAGCTTACAAGGTAAGCTAACAAGAAGGCCATCCCTCCATACACGTGTATGGAGGAAACAAAATGCCATACAGCTGTATTAAAATATCTGCAAAAGCAGATGAACAGTAGTCGGCTGCCTCAAAATTCCATTTTGTCAAAATGGAGTGCCGACCGGCAACAAAGAATGCCGACCGGCAATATACATTGCCGATGGCATCAAAACACCAGCCGGTGGCCTATGGCCATGGCCGGTGACGTGTGGGGATGCCTCACAAGGCATTCCCTGCCCCTCCAAGGCAAAACACAAGTGCTTGGTTCAAAACCAGACACTAAACAGTCGAGTTCGGAGATCCTGAGGCAAGGCGCGTAGCCGAGACCTCCGGGAACTCCAAACGAACATGAACATGGATAATCACCGGGTGTTCAAACGGTGACGTCCAAGTTTTGAGGACGGTCAAAAATGGGGTGTCTACACCATCACAGTCCTTAACAGCGCACCTTATCTCTTCCTTAGAGAATTCTGCTTCCAGCAAATAAAAAAATGGGCTATCCCTCTTTGACTTGAAAGGACCCTCCAATATAGGTCTACACTGCCAAACCTCAGTAAATTGTTTTTGAAAATGAGTTAGAACCTCTTGCTTAACTTTGCAAGGATCATCAAATACTACATCCCCGATAGTTAACGAATTGATTTCATTTCTCCCCCGTCTGCACTTAACTATCACATGAAAATATCTTGTGTTTTTATCACCATTCAGATTCCAATTCAGTCTTGATTTTTGAAGCCACAACCATTCTACCATTCTATTTAATCTACAAGCTTCATCTCTAACCTCTTTTCTTCTTGTTTTTTCTGTCTCTTCAAGCTCTCTTGCCTCTGTTATCAGATCAATCTTGTGAAGCTCTTCCTCTGCTTGCTTCAACTTAGTATTTATATTACCAAATACATCACTATTCCACTGTTAATGTGCTAATTTCAGCTCCTTCATCTTCTGAAATAATTTGAAACCAGCCCAACCCTCCACATGATGCTCCAACCATTGTTTCATGAAAGGTAAGAAATTTGGGTGTAGTAACCATGCATTTAAGAACCTAAATGGTCTAGGACCCCAATCTCTCTCATCTTCCATCAAAAGTAAAGAACTATGATCAGACATGGCTCTGGGCAACCCCCACAACTTCAGATTGAAAGATTCCAACCATTTTGGTTCTACTAGTACTCTGTTAATTTTGCTCCATTTTTTCCCTTCCCTGGCATTACACCATGTGTACCTTTTACCTAATAGGGCAAGTCATTCACCTCACTTTAACAAATAAATCATTCAATTTCTTCATACCCTTCTCCTTCCTAGAACATCCTTTTCTCTCTCCAATGTTTCTGATTTCATTAAAATCACCTCCCAAGCACCAGGGATTTGAAAACTCCTCTTTTAGCTTCAAGAGACACTTCCAAAGTTTCCCTCTAAGGCCCACTTAATTAGGTGCATACAGATTAATTATAACACATTCGAAAGAGAAGAATAGGGATATAAGAATAAATCTTCTATTACAGCAACAGCTGGATACTTGCAGCACACAAGGATCCCATATGCATAATAAACCACCAGCAGTTCCCTCAGCATCAACTGACATAAATTCCATCCTATCCCTGGCCCATAATTCCTTTACCTCATTTTCTAACATAATTGCTTTCTTTGTCTACTGGAACAGAACAATGGCAACCTCTCTAGTTTTCAACATGCTTTTTTTTATCTTACTCCTTTTTTCCTTCCTTCACAGACGTCTCACATTCCATGATAGGACCTTCATCATTAACCTATATCACTGACCTCTGACCCTCAATGCTACACTTTAAACTGCAGCATCAGAACCCTCTCCCATTCTTGCTCTATCCTGTGCCTCTAGCTCCATAATTTTGGACATCATTTCCTCTTCTTTACCTTTGTAATTTACTCGCAATAATTTCCCAGTTGTAGAGGTTCTTTATCCTCTTTAAGCATTTTTCTATCTCTAGCCACTCCACTGGCAGATGATAAGGACACTGATGCCACCGCAGTGGTTGCTCTCCAAATTGCCCATTTTGGGCCTAATTTACTTGATGAAGCTCCATTGTGGCCATGTCTTTTAGCAAGCTCAAGATAACCCTTCTTCATCTCTTTAATCTTCTTACCACTTGATTTTCGAACTACACTCTTTCTCCATTTTTTCTTTATAATCTCTTTACTTAAGTATATTGCATCACCATGGGTCTGTGATATGTCTGAACAGATCAACATAGGCCCTACTACACTTTTAAGCCCACACTGAAAGTCAAACTTCAATCCCTAGGCTTGCACCTCCACCTATTTCCTCTTATTATCTAATCCATCTCTTCGGCCCATCTCAGAACCTAGGCCCAGCTCCACCTCTAGCTTTACCCCAGGTTTAAGTAAACTAGAGCTACTTAAACTTCTGACAAAACCATGCGTTATAGCCCGATCAGAACTTTTCTGATTTCCTAACTCACAGCCGTTGCCTATGTTCCCAACTACCTTCATAATGCCTTCTGCCCTCTCCTCGAGCTCAATACCAGCTGACTCTGCCACCACCGTTTCAGTTCTCCCATATAACTCCTTCTACACCTCATCACTCCTCCTACCTCCACATGACACATTCCCTTTAGACACGTCCTGAGCCTGGTCCAGTTGCTGTGCTGACTCATCAGCCCAGCCATCATCTTCTTCAGCCACATCTCTTGCATTTTCCCCTACTCCAATCTTCTCACCAGGTTTAAGTAAAAATTTTGTTGCAAAACATATTTAGGGAACAATTCTTATTGTCGCAAGGGTCATCTCTAAAAAGTCCTCCCAATATGTAAAAAAAAATAAAAATTTTAGCGTCAATTTTGAAAATGTTGCTAATAAATGCACTTTTATGAACAAAATAATTTGGTGCCAAAAAGTTTAATTTTTGAGAGAAACATTTTGATCATAAAAGGATAGTAATCCATCACTAAATGTTAAATTTTGTCGCTAAAAATTCAACAATGACACTTTTGATAATTAAAATATTTCGTCTATAAAAATGATTTTGTCCATAATTTTTTTTTTTCTAAAACGTTAATTTGTTGTGATATTCCTTGTGTTTCAATCATCTTGCAAAAGAACATATCTTTCCTCCTTCATATGAAGTAGAAACCCTATTGTTTTAAGAGTATTCATGGATCAGGATAAGCCGTTGTGTTATTGTGAACAATAATACAAACAATAATAATAATAAGTGTACCCATATCTCATGAATGTAGACTTCACTCAAAACATACAAATTCCTTCGAAGGGTGTTTAGTTATTATACCTGTGCACATTGTGATTAAGTTTGCAATCTTTCTAGAAAAAAAGAAAAGAATTTTAACTAATAATAGGTTATTATAAGGCTATAGCTATTTTTACCAGCTAAATAGCACATACAAAAAATAATCCTTATCTTAGTAACTCATTTTAACTAACATTTACTCTAATAATAGTCTTTACTTTGCAACTCGAACGCTACTCTTTATTTTTCATTAATTAAAATACAAAAAAGACATATTGTTTATTTTTCTATTTATTTATTTTTATATGTGCTCCAACATTACTACATATTTTGCCTGTCCATTCACACAGTGTTTAAAGAAGCTCCGAAATCTCATCAAATGTAGCTAGCATGGAGAATAAGTGTTAAAATAATTATTGTAGTAGCTATCCTGCTAGAGGGATTAAAATGGATTGAAAGTAGCTACAATAACCAACAAACCTTTTTTGAAGAGCCCATTACAGATGCACTTAGCTAATTGTTATAGAAAATTTGTTTTTTTGCTAATGCTTTTTTATGAAAAGATGAAAAAGGAGGAGAGAGGGAGAAGGAAATTGAGGAGTAAATAATTTACAAATATACAAATATGGCTAGCACAAAGTAGGGGAAAAAAAAATAAAAATAAATTACAAATATACCTTTTGAGGTTTGATTAAAATACAAATCACTCATTGTGGTTCTAGAAATTATATTCCACCCATTTCATAACAAATTGTTCCTTTTATTAATAAATCATCAAGTTACTTAACAGTTTTTAGTGACGTTAAAAATATGTTTCAATTAATAATTTTGATAATTTTATTATTGTATAGGAGAACAATTATGAATTTCATCATTTTTTAGTTAATTTTGTTAAATAAATTTTTTTCCAAATTATAAGGGACAATCTATATTTTAAGCAAATCTCAGGAAATGTATTTATAATTTATCCAAAAAAAAAGGCAAATAGCTATACCTCACTGGAAAATTTTAGATAGTCCGTTGGAATTATTTTTTAATATTTTGCCTTGTTTCTAAATTCTAAAATCATCCGCATAAAGAGTATAACCAAGTTAGACTGATTTGAGGATTTCAATAACCAAAGGTTTGATGGTCCATTGCCGTCTCCTAACTATTGAATATGCGAGACTAGAGAAAGATCAGGAGGGTGGCATCCTTATATGAGAGAGAGAGAGAAAGTATTATTTAGCAAACTTTGTTATTGTAAAAATATAGGAAAACAATTATAAGGAAATCATCCACCACCAACCCACTTATTCATGCTATATTAAATCATATCTATTTAAATTTTAACAAACAATAGATTCATTTTTTTTTTTATCAGCAAACAAAGACTTTATTGATTAAAAGGGCACAATACATGCAAAACAAACATCAACACCCAAGATTGGTGAGGAACCAATCAAAAGCACCCAAAAAAAGAACAGAAAAAAAGACATAACATTAATACACCCAGCAGAACAAACTATAGCAGCAGCAAGACAGTGCATGAGCAGCAGCACACCCCAGCAACTCCTCTACCTGATTCAGATTTGCAAGACAGTGCAGAGCAGAACAGCAGCAGAGCAGAAGCACACACTAACATTAACAACCAAACCAGCAGAACAAACTATAGCATTAGCAAGACAGTGCATGAGCAGCATCACACCCCAGCAACTCCTCTACCTGATTCAGATTAGCAAGACAGTGCATGGGTACTTTCTTTTTGTTTATTTCTCTAGTTGTTGGGCCACCAGAATTGAGCTTGAAGATGGTCTACCACCTTCTTGTCCACTTGGAATGCCTTAGCAAGAAGATCATCAGAAATTTTTGGATTTGACCCAAACACTGCGTTAGCAATGGTAATGACACCGGGATTTTGGCTGCTCAAGCCAGCAAGAGCTACTGCATTAGTCTTTCCCTGATTAAACTGGAAGTGAATGAGACCTTGTGGGAACACAAAAACATCTCCTGGGTACAAGACCTTTGTGAAGAGACGGTTGTCAGGGTTGGAGGTCACGAAGCCGACATAGAGAGTACCCTCCAAGACCACAAGGATCTCAGTTCCGCGAGGGTGTGTGTGGGGTGGGTTGAGGCCATAAGGTGCAAAGTCGATGCGAGCTAAGGAGATGCCAAGAGTATTAAGGCTTGGTATTTGCATGACATTTACGGGAGTGACTGTCGATCCAACTAGATTAGATGTGTTTCGTGGAGTGAGGAGGCCAGAGAAGAAAAAGTCATTGGCTGTGGCGAGCTTTGGGTCATTGCAGAACTTGCCATTTACGAAAACTGTATGCAAATGAAATCAAGTTGTGCTTCAGTAAGGATTGGGTGAAAGAAAGAAAATCTTATATAAAATATAAAATTTCAATATTGTTACGATGATCTATAATCTAAGAAAATAAAAACTGACCCTTTACAAACTTCAACAATTAAAATGTTAGAGTATATTTCCGGTAGCAAAAGTGCAATTAACCCTTTTTTGCCTTATGTGTATTTTTTGTTCCAAAAATAATTCTTATTCTGACAATGAATACTAATGAAGCGAGTTTGGAAGATAACTTTGATACACATGTAATCCATTGAAAGTGAAATTGCCACAATTAAATGTTGATTACTAAAATGACAAAAAAATATACTAATTGGGCTTTGTTTTTTATTAAATTAAATTTGCCACTAAAATCATATTTGAAAGCATGAGACTTGAGTTTGGAATGTAAAAAGTTGGGAGATAGAGATGAGTAAAAAATATACCAGCAGATTTGGAGTCTTTGACAGCAACACAAAAGTCCTGTAGTTGACTTGGGTCAGAAGCAGAGGCAAGTGTAAAAGCCAAGGCCATGATGGCTGTGGCTACAAGGATGAAGTGGGTGCCCATTTTTATCAACTGAAAGCAAAAACACAAAATTTGAATTTTTATCAATTGAAAGCAAAAACACAATTTCTATATATGGCTAATTGCTTGAAGGAGGTGATAAGATATCCAGCATGGAAAACCTGACTATTTATAGATACAGATAGAGACGAAAGTAGTTGGATTTTGTGATTATATTATTTCCTATGCCAATATGATAAGAATTACCAAGTCCTCAATGGGTAACTTTTTTCCTCAACCACCATTGAATCAAGGATATGAACGGTTCTTCTAACTGCTTACATCAACATCAGGGTGGCTTTGGCCCAAAGCCAGAAAATCATCTCTTTGAAGAAAAAAAAAAAAAAAAAAAAATTCTCCTTTGGGTTTGAAAAATTGATTAATAAAAAAGGTTTTTTTTATTTTTTATTTATTTATTTTTATTTTAACTATTATACTATTTCATTAAAAAAAAGAAAATTCTGAATTTTGAAGGCCCCAATAAAGTTTAGTGAAAATTAAAAACTGATAAATGATTGATATATTGAAATATTTAAAATTAATGGATGATTTCTTTTACCAAAAAAAAGAATAATAATAAAAAAAATAAAAAGACAATATGTTATTAAACTAGTTAGTCAAAAAAATATTCATGAGTCTAATTGATTTTTGGAGATTGGTTAGGTTATAAAATAAAAGTTTTAGTGGCACGTTAGTAAATGTTGTTATTATAAATGACAACGGATGACAGCGATAAAATTGATTCAAAATCAAATAATTTAGATATAAAATTGATATAACTAAAAAAGTATGGATTAAATTTGATTTTTAAGTGATAATTTGCAGAGTAAAATAAATTTTTTATTTGTGATTATATTTTCAACGGAGTTGTTATTCGGTGGTCCACAATGCTGCATATTATTCATTTTGCCACATTTATTATATTGTATATCAAAAATTAACATAAAAGTGTAGGTCCCATAATGAGGTAACAAAGCTAGCATGGCATTGACATAGGTATATATAATGTTTAAGAGTCATTGATGAATTTGTCTCATATTTTCTAATACAAAGCATATGATAATGTGATTTTACCCAGTCTTCCGCGGTTACATTATGAATGATTCTTCAACTGCACCAATCCCTTTTTTAATTAACGAAATCATAATGACCATTTTTTAGATTTGTAAAAAATATAATAAATCTTGTAAGTTTGGTATATACTATATTGACTTATCTTTCAATAAGATTAAGGGAGACTTGCTTATATGTCTTAATATATGAACTTATTGTCCAATAGGTTCTATGATAATTAATGACGTTTTTTATCAAATACTATTAAAAAAACGTCACTAATTGTTAATTTTCAACGACAGATTAAAAATTGTCATAAAAAATGTTACTAATTATAAGTTCTAGCGACAGTTTAAAAAAATCATCATAAAAAAGTCACTAATTTTCAACTTTTAGCGACAGTTTGAAAAATTCATCTCAGAAAATGTTACTAATTGTAAGTTTTAGCAATAATTTATAAAAACTGTGACAGAAAAATTCACTAATTGCCAATTTTTAGCGGTATATGTAAAAAATTGTCACAAAAAATTATTTTTAACTATAATTTTAGTAGGATTTTATGAGAATTAAGTCCAACTATTAGGACCTATTGGTAGTTTATCCTAAGATGATTTAAAGCAAATAGAACTAATACAAGTGGTGTGTAAATACAAAAATAAGTAAAAATAATTGCATTATTTTTTTATTTATATAACTAATGAATTAGTGATGAAAATGATTTAAAAATAGATTACAATCAAGTAAATTCTAATAATTTTTAATTGAGATATACTTATCTGGTTCTTTTAAGTCTATGGGGTGATGCAATTAGGGATGCATTGGAAGCTGAGTTCTCAGAAGCAGAAATTGTAGCAGCAATTAAATCCTGCGAAGGGAATAAGGCCCTTGGGCCTGATGGATTTAATCTGTTGATTTTCTAGAAATGTTGGCAGTCACTTAAGGGTGACGTTTTTCAATTTATGAAGGAGTTTCATCAAAATTCTAAGCTGGCTCATGGAGTTAATAGTTCTTTTGTTGGTTTGTTACCAAAAAAATGATAATCCTTCTTGCCTTAATGATTATAGGCCTATTAGTCTCATAGGCTCTCTGTACAAAATTCTTGCAAAAGAACTATCTCATAGGATCAAGCAAGCGATGCCTATGATTATTAGCGAGACTCAATTAGCATTTATTGGAGGCAGAAATATTTTGGTTGGAGTATTGATTGCCAATGAAGTTGTTGATGGGTGGAAGAAGAATAAGATAAAAGGTATTGTCTTGAAACTTGATTTTGAGAAAGCTTATGACTCAATAAATTGGGGGTTCCTTTTCTTTATGTTGTCAAATTTTGGGTTTGGTTCTAAAGGGATTAGTTGGATGAAAGACTGTGTATCTTCAGCCCATATCTCTATTTTGGTTAATGGATCACCAACTGTTGAGTTCAAACCTCTGAGGTGTATCTTTAGCCCATATCTCTATTTTGGTTAATGGATCACCAACAGTTGAGTTCAAACCTCTGAGAGGGCTTAGACAGGGTGATCCATTATCACCATTCCTCTTTAACATTGTGGTTAAGGGTTTAAACATCCCGTTGGGTAGAGCTTTACAAATGGGGTTGATTAAAGGGGCAGTTGTTGGATCTAATGGTATACAAATAACCCACTTGCAGTTTGTCGATGACACAGTATTGTTTTGTGAAGCTGATTGGGAGGAGGTTGTCACCATAAAAAGGATCTTGAGATGTTTTGAAATTTTGTCAGGGCTCAAGATTAACGACCATAAGAGTGTGGTCAGTGGGGTTGGGATCAATGATGATTTTCTTGAAGATCTTTGTAGGTGCTGATTTCCGACAACACTGCCAAACAGGGAACTCAACTGGAGAGGATAGGCATAATAGATTACGCCCGAACAACCTGTCCCAGAAAGATATGATTCCAACGGTGGTTCGTCCACCCGGGGGCACTTCGACGATCAAATCAGTACTTAGTCTATCTCAGAGAGATAGAAAATAGTGCTTAATTCACAAGCTAGAATACAAAAAGTGTACCTTAGACCCACGAGAGTGCCTTACTTTTATAGCAACACTAACTTGATCCTGTAGAAGCCTAGCTTCAATGGACTCTGGCTCAATGTTTATCTGGGACACTTAACTAGATAGAGATAAACTCCCTAAGAGTTTTATTTTTATCCAGACTGAGGTCCTCCCCCATTCTAGGACTCTTGTCCTTTATCCGCTCACTTCGGATTCCAGTATCTCCGCAGATAACCTCAGCTTAGCCGAGATCACCTCGGCGCCATGACCAAGACACGTCGCACCTCGGCTGACACTTCGGTGTTACCTTGGCCACGTGTTGTCATTCACAAAATATGTCCCCACAACTACCCCCTAGGTTCTATTACCTTGGCATCCTGAGGTGATGGAACCTATATTGTTTGTTCATATAGCAGAACGGCTAAGACTTCATCCTTCATGACTGTAACATCATACATCGACTTGACATGACCAAGACTCTGCAGTCTACTTTATCAATAAGAAAGAACCAAGAACCAAGTTCTTCAAGTTCCTTAACCAGGACCGTTCCTCTACTCGAGGTTCTCACTCCATTAAATCAAGAACTCCAAGAGTTCTATCTGCGCATGAGCTGTCACGCACGGTTTTCTCAACCGTTTCCACCACGCGTCCCTTTCCCATTGATTCGTACCTAACACGTGCTATTAAGTCGCGGCGCTTCTACTCGTGTCGCCTGACAGGCACATCGTCTAAGGCACATTCATTGTGGTTTTGCCGCATTTTTGTGTTTTAATAAAACATTTTCCTCTCTCTCCGTCTCTTCACTTTGCATTCCTTCGTCATTGCTCAAGCTTTCTCACTCTAAAGCTTCTCTCCCAAATCCTCCATTGTCATTCCTTTCGAGCTCTGCCACTGCTATATTTACCACCTCCAGCGCCCTTTTCATCATCTGCTTTCGATCGTTCTTGTCGTCTGACTCCGGCGACCTTCATATCGGCACTCATTTCACTCGGTAAGTTTACAATTCCTTCCCCCCTAAATTTGGTCTCTGACTTATTTCAAACTTTTATTGCATGTTCACACGCTGTTTTCTGCCACTGTGAATTTGTTTCGTATTTCTGAATCTTTACTTGGGCCTTGAATTTCATTATGTGTGTGTCGAGCATATTTGTTTGCGATTTGGTATTGTCCACTCAGTCTCTGGGTGTATGTACATATGAACTGTGCATACACTTGATGCCTTAGTAATCTTGCCACTGTTCTTTGATTTTTGCACGTCTGCACACGCTTACATAGTGTTCTTCGAATTTTTGCTTTGCTTTTCTTGAGTCTAAATCATTGCTCTTTTATGTTTTTCTTGTTTATTTCCAGATCTTTCCCTTGATTTCCTATTTTCCATATAGATTTAGGCTTGGGTTTTGATAGAGAAATCACATACTTAGGCGAATTGAAACAAACTCTCCTAAATCTTAAAAAACCCTTGCCCCCATTCTTGTTTAGGGTTTTAGCCGAGGTCCTCCAAACCCACATCAACCATTCCCCTTTGAAATCTTACACCTTCCTCTTTTAGCTGACATCATGGGTATGTTCAGGTGGAGGGTAGATACCCCAAAAAAAAGTAAGTACTTTAGGAGAGAGTTTTCCATCCCAACCGATATTCAGGATTCCATCATGCCTAATGGAGACTCCATGCCTTTCCCTGTAGTCGCTTTCATAGAGTGCGGGCTTAGGTTCCTTCTAAACATCCTCTTCCGACATGTCCTTTTTTATTACAAGTTTAACCCAATGCAGCTGGCTATTAACTCTTATTGAGTCATTAACCACATACTTTGGCGAATTGAAACAAACTCTCCTAAATCTTAAAAAACCCTTGCCCCCATTCCTGTTTAGGGTTTTAGCCGAGGTCCTCCAAACCCACATCAACCATTCCCCTTTGAAATCTTACACCTTCCTCTTTTAGCTGACATCATGGGTATGTTCAGGTGGAGGGTAGATACCCCAAAAAAAAGTAAGTACTTTAGGAGAGAGTTTTCCATCCCAGCCGATGTTCACCTTAGGCTGGCATGGGAGGA